TAAGCTACAGAAGAAATAGCGTTTCAACTTTACAATCAGACAGTTGTTTATAGCATATAGTGAATAACGAGAATAACATATAACGGTGTAACGTTACGTTCTTAAGCATTGCTTTAAATGCATGAAGAGATTCGCTTCGTTGACTTCATTCGCGGACTTTACGGCTCGCAGTTATTGCATGTTATGGTTCTCTACAGTCTTTATCTAAAGCCGTTTATAACTGAATGAGCTTTTAACAATTAATGTACCATACAAAGACATTAAATATATATATAGAGTAGGCATAGTTGACACTTCACTTAAAACAATTTCACATAATCTCACTAATTTGTAAGATGTTTTACATGTAAATACAATGACACGAGGTGGCGTACTAAACTTGACAACTGTCAACCTTTGAGAGAAAGTACCGGTGATTTTTTTTTACTATACCTAGTCTATGTATTTCTTAAATGTCTTTGGTACCATAGCAAAAACTATGTCCGATTTATTGACTCCAAAAATAAAAAAAACAATGGGACCCACCTGCAAGCACTATCTTTATAATAAAGTAAGAATTTGCGAAATCTTTCCACTACTGCTAGGGATATGCGGTACATAAAAACAGACGAATTGATAACCTTCCTCTTATGGGAAGTCAGTTCAAAGTTATGTTAGATTGTGAGCACTAAATTGAACTCCTAATACCACTACTATTTATCCCTAAAATTAGGTAGCTCAAGCTGATTTTAACTTGAAATATTGTTGTAATTAGAGCCTTGTCATTAACTACTTCGATAATATTTTTTAAGTTATGTAGCTGTTAGAAGTTGTTCTTTTACATAGAAATTATTTGCAACTTATAAATGTTTATTTATTATTTACTATAAATAATTCAGATTAATCTTATATTTTTGTTTCGTTATGAAATGTAACATTTCTGTTACTTTCACTTATTTTAACAGCTTTTATAGTTCTAAGTAGAGTGAGAGTTGAAAACGTTGTTTAGATAAGTACGCTTTACTTAACGCGTATTCTTTTCAGCTTTGAACAAAGGGAGCGTGTGTCGCTGTCAAGTATTGTTGGTGTCGCTTTCGCACGGTGCTCATTGTTTTTGTTACAACTTACATCTTTACAGTATGTGATTATGAAAAAGAAACCAGTTTCTCTTACTGTGACCTAGATAGGCGTTCTAAAGATAGAAAAGGTTTTTTTTTAAATTGCAAAAACCAGCGCTTGACCACTATCCCACCTAGACCAAAGTGAAGATGTGGTCGAAGGATGGTACGCGCTAGTTATAGTCAGGTTATACCTGATTGTGATATTTTGTAACAGTAAAGGATCCTAGTGCCAAACCCAGAATAGAATCACAAAGGAAGCCTTGTTATGTAGGTTTAGTGAAATAAATCTCTACAGTGACTTCCTCGAGTACCTATTAAATAATTCTGTGTGCGGCGGTAACTCTATTAAGGGAAAACTATGACTTATCTAATTCAGCTCTCAGTAAATTTGAACTGTAGTTATTGCAGTTGCTTTGTTTTTTTTATTATTAAATTTTATATATTTGTAGTTTATTTATGCCATATCTATACCAGTATTATAAAGAGGAAAATTTGTATTTTTGTATTTATTAAAATAACTCAAAAACTACTGAGATGATTTCAAAAATTCTTACACCAATGATTAGTTATGTTATCACTAAGTAACTCAGGCTATATTTATTACATTTCTTATTCTTCTACGCAACAAAGACGTGATCAACAGCTAGTCTTGTATATTTCTTCATTTAGCTACATGCTGATGGATATCATTATTCATACCGTCTTTTGTTTTATTATCACCGATAAAATTGTCGATACAAAAATTAAAGCATAGAAAAAACCGAAGGTATTGTTTGTTTTTTGCGCGACTGTCATGTGGTTGATGTACATGTCCTTTTGTGGGTAGTCTAAATACAAAAACGTCACTCCAACAAAATGAATCGAACGTCGATGACCCATCAAAATACACCGTTAGCGAATCACAAGTTTAGGAAGTGAAGCTTTTAAAATTTTACGCCGTGATATTCCCTGCTGGGTTGGCGATGGGTGGATCATGCTTGAAAAAAGTTTTTTTCTTCTTCTAAAATCTCAGTAAAACATAGAATTCACGTAATATAAACACTTGCACAAACGCACAAATTTCCACATATGATGATGGCCACTTTTAACTAATAAATCAATTATTTAATTACTTTTGTGATAATTTACCTAGTCCTTTTACATGATAGACGATATTATGGTTTATTTGTAATACTCTGTTTAAAGAGGACGTTCCACGACATGTCTAAATCGTCAACATAACTCTATATTTGTTTAGTCTATTCGCAAATATGTACGTCAACAAAGACCCAAGCGGTTTGTTTGAATGCTATTGAACCTTGAACGTTTAAAATGTTATACGCTAATAAGGGATGTCCATATGTTTCCAACGGTACTATTTGTTATACTGGATCACAATAAGTTTCATATTATATGGAGGTCTTCTTTATTCCACCAGTATTAGGTACTGAATTTCAGTGCCGAACAAAAATAAAATTTTTTCGACACGTGTACAGGAAACTCATAATTATGGTAATTTATCGATAAAAGTTTTACAGAAAAGAGATTAATTAAAGATAAGATGCGGTGCTGGTCTTGATTTCCAAAACATTTATAATCTATGAACAATGACATTTCATCTGTCTGTATAAAATAAAATAGTACAAAAACAAATTATACGTTAGTACGATATTGAATCAGGTGACTTTTTCAAACGCTTCGATGGATCATTTGTATGTTAATTCTGACCTCTTTTACAGAGGTCAAAATTCTGATCTCATCTTTAGCTGTGCTGTCGTAAAATTTTATTCAAAACATTTATTTTTATTTAAAAGTTATTGGCAAAATTGCGTATTGGCAATGTAAAAAAAAGGAAGAAAACGGATGATTTAGCGGACGCCAATTTTTTGGTTTACAGTTCTGAGTTATATGAGTAAAAACGTTATCATTCTACACTATGGTGGGAATATTTACAACTGTTACAATTTTATTTACAAAACGTGACTTCCTACCCGACTTACCATATTAAATGTAAGTAAAACATAATAACCATTTAATTGAATATTGTACAATTTTACGACCACGTTACTATGATAAGTGCTGTTTATTATTTTTCATATTATAAGATGGCAAACGAAAATACCTGGAAACACCGAAATAGTGACGTGACCTCTCCCCATAGACATCGACAATTACAGCGTTGCCTAACTTTTAATTTTTTTTGACGCAAAAGAGCGGGTATGTTAAAACAAGTGGCAATAATAACTACATAGTTTTTCTTGCCACAGAAAACACACAGAGAACATAATCTCTATAATTGAATTTGATCAAATTAAAATAAAGAAAAGTTTTCGTACAATTCTGCCGTAAAATAGTTAAGCTGGTAAACTTACATGTCGTGTTAGTTTGAGACATTCTTTGTAAGTAATTGCGTGTCTACGTGTTCTAAATAGATGTATGTGGCGGTTAAATGTTGGAGCTACAGATATTAAAAATATATATAGAGTAGGCATAGTTGACACTTTACTTAAAATATTTTTTACATGATCATCACTAACTATTGATAGATCAAAACATTTCAATATAATTAGTTGCGTTTAAATTAATTGCCAATATATGTTATTAAATAATATTTAAATGTTTAACTATATTTTATTTTTAGACACTGGATAGTTTATTTTAAAACAAAAGATGTCATTACATGTCATTACAAGTATATGAGGTAGCACTAAACTTGACAGCAGTGTTACCTTTCAGAAAAAGTACCGGTAATTTTTTTTTGTCCACTATGTCTAGTCTATATTTATTAAATGTCTTTGGTTGGCTCAAATGTCTTTGCCCGCGGAGACAGCGGATTAATGATTAGGGCAAAGAAAATGGCCCTTACTTGTATGTAATTTTACTTCTGTGTTGTGATCGCCTGGGGCGCGGGGAAATGTTTTCTTTTCTTAAATGTAGAGGCAAAAGTACCTTTGAAGTACAAGTCCTGGGGTTCCTGTGTTGTTGATTTGGTACTGTTGCAAAATCAACACTAACATAAAGGTGTAAAGTATAAAATCGCTTAACGTTGTAAGAATTCTTGCTATTGTTTGTTACTAAAGTTGTATGCGAAATTGAACTTTGTAAGGATGAAGTTATATCTTTTGTTAAGTGGTGTCTATTTATATACATTTTATGTGGATTAGTTAATATATGTTTTTAAATTATTTCATCTGAATTGTAAAACAAAAATAACATGAAAAGAGAATTTATCATAAAAGAAAGACATGAACTTTTTTAATTAATTTTAGCCAGACAAAAATCGCGTGTTTTTAATATCTTTCTAGTAGAATGATACGCATATCTGAGTATTGAAAACTGAATCTTTTATTGCGTGTTCATGTAGTTTGATTTCACAGTCTTAATTATGCAGATCGTTAGTATCCGAACTGACCTCGTGAGACAATTGTATTGAGATGGTTGTAACAATTTATTACTATTAATGTCCCAAATTACTGTTTTGTTTAACGGTACAGTAATAAAACTGTCGTGCTCAGTAAAATAAATGTGCTTTCATTTACTTGGAGTACTGGATTACTGGAAATAGCTCCATTGATAAGAAGGTAGATACTTAATAATAAGGACTCACTTAAAGGTCTCTGAGTATGACAACAGTAACAGAATATAAATCTGAATCAGTTTTTGTATGACATAAAAATAATCTTACATTTTCTATAGTTACATCTGGCTAGGTTATATATAAACAAACCAAAAGATTTAAAAACACAAACAAACATTGGAACTTTGGAATTGGAAATGGAATAAAAGAAATAAGATGAATAAATACGATCGTTATAACGACAGTTTCTTTCTAATATTTGTTCTCTTCTTACCGGTTTTTTTTTAAATAAAATGTGTTAAAAATGCGTCTAAAATAATAGCTGTATTCTATACAAGTCTTACCTTTAGCAGACACCATGTGCAGTAAGCCGAAACAAAACACAAATTTTAACAGCACCATCTTGTATTCACTTCACTGAATCTTTATTTTCTTAATCTGAAACAAAAATGTAAATTATTAGATATTGTACTGATTTATTAAACTTGTCTGAGGGTAGGTTACAAAACCTATCTATATTTAACACAATATATTACAGTTATAATACGTGAAAAGATAACGTTATGCGATTAATGTTATTAGTCAATGAAGATATACCAATAAACTTCTTTTCATTACGAGAAGAAACAGTAACCGGTTTGGTTAAAATTAAAACCACTGTTTCTATACTACTTATTTAGTTATAACATACTTACTACAGACTATAAAAGACGTGTACGTAAGAAATACAATTCAAAAAAGAACAAAACATATTTTTTTGACAAGTAAATTGTTGCAAGCATTAAATATTTAAATTTACCTTAACATTTTTAAATAACAAAACACCACTGTCGTTTGTTTTTCAAGTTATAATGTCAAGTGAAAGGTTTCCTACTTTATTTTGTATATTTTAATAAGATCTATGTTTAAATCAGTTTTCTATACATTAGTAAAAGACATAAAATGGTTCATTGATTTATCTCGATGCGTTACGACTCTACAAATAAAATAATAATTTATGTTTGGATGATGTTGACAGGATAATGACACTTAAAACGTTTGCAATAAGGAATAAATACGTATGCATTACAATTAGAATGAAATCTAGTATAGACAAACACTTCAATTTTAACGGTCAATTTGCCTACATAAAAGATATTGTACTTTAAAATAAACATCTCTTAATTTACTTTCATTTAATTGCCGCATTACCTGTTTAATTAACTTCAATTCATAAATACAAAATTTAATGAATTAATTACTAAATTTTAGGTTATTTTTAAGTAAAAATGTTCTTATACCACTCACTATCATAATTAAAAATAGCTAGTCTAAAGTTGGGAAAAATGATTTATACTTGTTTTAGAAAATTTAACCAAAGCCTCAACCTAGTTAACATAACCCAATGGTATTGAAAAGTAATAAAACGACCTGATTGCTTGAACAAATTGAATTCTCAAAAACAGCGCATGAAACGGAATTCATAACTCCATGTAACAATAAAAACAAGATGGCGGTCGTATTCCTGTAATACCATTACAAACGTCTACTGCATTAGTATCGTAAAGTTTCAATACAATCATGATTTTAACGACTCTCATGTCATTGATAGAAAAATGTTG